GGCAGAAGTAGTCTTACAAAACAGAAGAGGTCTCGATTTACTAACTGCAGAACAAGGAGGTGTTTGTTTAGCCCTACAGGAAAGATGCTGCTTCTATGCCAACAAATCCGGGATAGTTCGAGACCATATCAAACAACTACAAGACGACTTAGAAAAGAGAATAAAACAACTGGCAGAAAAGCCCCTTTGGACTGGACTTAATGGATTCCTGCCTTATCTCTTACGCTTTTTAGGGCCACTTGTGGGCTTGCTTCTTTTGCTTTCTTTGGGGCCCTTTTTACTTAATAAAGTCACAGCTTTTGTTAAACAACAAATTGAGGCTATTCAGGCAAGGCCTATACAGGTCCATTATCAATGCCTTGAGATGCAAGAACAAAGTGGTGCCTATATACCACTAGATTCACCTTAACAAATGCTACCTCTGTGAGCTGAACTGGATAGCCAGAGACAGGTAGGAGGGTAAGTACCCCACACCACCCTAAACAAAAGGCTGCCATTAATGGCAACCCATTTCTATGACGGGTACCATGCTCAGGATGGGTTACCCCAACCTAAGACAGGCACAGTTCCCGAGAGGTTTTCTTGGCTTGAAAAAATAAAAAAGGGGGACCTGTCTGGGGCCAAAGAGCCCAGTCATAGCCTGCCCAGGGTCATGAAGCCCTGCCAATAGCCCTCTGACACTAAAGATATAAATGCTGTGACCTTTCCGCCCTTTTCTCCTTTTTACTGCTTGCACAGTCCTAGGCGTAGATCACTGCTACTTTGCTTTAGATAGCTGAGAAATGTTCCATTTCCTGAAATGATTTGCCCTGTGTTTTTTTTCCCAAAAACATCTGCATACTTCCTTATCTGCTGATTCCCTCCTGCTGTCTATATAAGCTGTGACATTCTGGCTAATAAATGAGACTTGATCAGAATACTGTCTTGTCTCCATTTCTCATGTCTCTTGTCCCATCCAATTCCCACTCCCCCCTCCAGGGTCTGCATTGAATATCCCGTGAGTCAGGACAGTTAGCTAGTGTTATATTGAAGATTTTTGCATCTATATTCTTCAAGGATATTGGCCTGTAGTTTTCTATTTGATGCATCTTTGTCTGGTTTTAGTATCAGGGTAATGTTTGCATCATAGAATCAGTTTGGGAGACATGCCTCTGTTTCAATTGTTTGGAACAGTTTGAAGAGAATTGGTATCCATTCCTCTTTGAAGATTTGGTAGAACTCTGCAGTGAACCCATTCAGTCCTGGGATTTTCTTTGTAGGGAGCCTTCTGATAACCTCTTCAATCTCTTTTATTATTATAGGTCTGTTCAGATTTTCTATATCTTCTTGGGTGAGTTTTGATAGTTTGTATGCATCCAAAACTTATCCATTTTCTCC